CCTTAAGTTCTCGTTTTGTATTTTATTGTATTCTGGTATTGACCTTGGCTTTGTTTCCTGACTGAGTTTCTCCTTGCCTGTTTTGTTTGCCCATCTGACTAACACGTTCCTGACTTTAGCTATTTCCAGTTTTCCCTCTCTCTTCTTTACCCAGAACCCGACTTGTATTTCGACTAAGCCTTACTCAAACACTTTTGTGATTTAGGAAAAACGGAGTCTGAATGGACCTTTGAAATAGATACTTCTGCTCCAGCAGGGTTAAGTTTGTATTTTCTGTTCAAACATTTTTTATAACTTTTTTAAATATTGGAGGGAAGTTAATAAGAAATAAAAACACATGTACATTTATTTTTAGAAGATAATTTTCCTTTAATATTTAAGAAATTTTTTTTATTTTATTTTTACAAATATTTCTTATATTTTTATTTTTTGGGGGCGTTGTGTATGGTTCTACTTCCCTGGCGACTTATCTACATAGGAAGTGTACAAATGTAAACATCTTAATTTAACTATTAAATGGTTTTGTTTTTTTTTCCTCACATAAGGGCAAATGTAATGTGTGTGAATGGTTTAGCCTTTAAACAAAATGGCATCCGCAGCTTCCAGTTTATATCGTAACATGTTACACTTCAGTTATCCCTTGTTACGATAACATGACTACTAACAGTATAGGGAAGGGAAAAGGGAGACAAATGGTTATCTACAATATATCTATGGTACTTTAAACTGTGCATACATCTTCAGCTTTACTTGGAAATTACTATATGTGCATATTATTCCATGTGGGCATTTTTCTTGTGTGCATTTATGAGCGTGAGGTTTTTCTGTGGGCTTTTTTTATACATTCTTTTACATAATAACCTCATTTTCATGGTTTTACATTATGTGTAAACAAACTTGTACTTTTAGGATGCTTTGGCCGGTGTCTATAACCTGCACTACTGTCTATGATTGCATCAGCCTGTGAACGCAGCACCTTAAAGCTTACTATATAGAGCCTTATAACTGCTCTATACTACGTGAATGGTTTATATCTATCACTCTACATCATATTGTGCAAGAACACTACGCTATGAAGCTTTGTCTTTCTTTTTATGAGATTGCTTCTGGTCTCCAACCACTACTTTAAATAAAAGGAGAGTAAAACGTTGCACGTGCACTTTATCACACTACTATTATCAAGAAGCACATCAGCACCTGTTTGTATATTTTTTATATTTACTACTTTTGTACATTTTGTACTTTTTTATTTTTTTTATTTTTTTAAACAATGTAGTTAATAGTTGTTTACTTACTTCCTGGAAAGATTTGATTTTTAACTACATTATTTTCTTTCTCTTGTGACCTAGGGTTTGAAAGATGCTCCTGAGATTGCAACTTTGGAAAATGGAATCTTTGACAATACAAAGGGTATCTATGTGACAATAACGCCTATTATAGAAGGGTTGCTAACGATCATGAAAACTTTCTAATAGAGGTTAATCCACATTTGCCATTAAAAGCTTAGATTAACTTTAGTTTTACATCCAATATAAAAGACCAGATGTTGACAGACGTATCAGACTTAAAGGACCATTAATGGTACCCAAACCAGTTCATCTCAATGAAATGGTCTGGGTGCAGTGGTCCTTTGTTTTCATCCTGTAGTGTAAGACTGTGTCATTTAGTAGATATGGCAATTGATTTGTCTTACTGACAGCCACTATAGGGTGCATCCGCTTAATAACGGAGTCAGACTTGGTTATTCAAAAACTGGACAATTCATTCCATCAAATTTGCTGAGCATGCGCACCAGTGCATCCTTACAGGGAGGTACTGAAACTGCTGAGATCATCAGTATTGATGATCACAGCCAAAGAGGCCGGACCAGCCTCTGGCATCCTGGAGACTGGTGTGGAGAAGATGGGTAAAACAACATTTTTCATTGTAAACAGAAAAATACTGTAGTATTTATTTAATCCAGTGTTCTCCAACCCTTTAGCACCTGGGGACTGGCAAAAAGAGGAGAAATATTTCGCGGACCAGCGTCAGCCAGAGATAAAACCCAATGGTATGTGTGAGGGGTGCAGTTTGTGTGTGTGTGTATATAGGGAAGAATGATTGTGGGGTAGGAGGGTAGATTAGTAAATATATATGTAACGGATCACCTGGCACCCCGACTGGGTACCTCCGTTGAAGGATGCTCCTAGCGCTTACAGAGGGCTCCAAGCGCTCTGCAGACACCACAACCACCACAGACCACACTAACCGCCGCAGCTTGGTTGGGGTCTCGCCGTCTCCTACCCACCCTGGACCTACGACAAGGCTCCAGGTTCCAGTGGGTGAACCTCTCCTCCAAGAGAGTGAAGCAGGAACAAGCTCTTAAGAGCTTAGCAGTGATTAGCTAAGGGAGTATGCAGAGCATAGCAATCCCTTGTAGTGATATAGCAATTCCCCCAATAAGAGACAGGACTCTAGATTGAGGGTGAAGAACTGTCTGTACTGGCACATACAGCCTCTTTTATTCACATTCTGCAAACATAGTACTGCCCACAGGGTTTTGAAGCACAACCAATCAACACATTATAACACAGCTAACACCCCCATTCATTACATCAGAAATCCTCCCCTCTGCCTGTGATAGTTATCTCAACACAATAGACTAACTTAATTATCACAGGCAGGAAAAAACAGTATTATAAAACACATCACAGGGACCCCAAAACATGCAATAACCCCAATAAAAATTCACCCTGTTCCGTTCAGTAGTTTGGAAGATATGGCTTAATGCAGATTCCACAGAATATATACAGGCTATATAAAAAATAATTACTGTTTAATGTGTCCCCTGTTCTATAGTTTAAAACTACTGCACGATGTCTTTGTGCACCAAATACCGGCGAGATGGCACCGTGTAGAAAAGTCCAAGCAGTGTCTGTGAGTTAAAATGGCTGCCATCCATTGTTCTCACCATGTGCCTCTGATACATGAAATTGTGGCCACCCAGTAACTCCACAGTATGTCCCCAGATGGTTCTTAAAGGGCCAGCAGCAGCATAATAAAATACAGTAGGCCCAAATCAGTTCCTTAAAGGGCAATACATCCCAGGGCCATAGTTGCAGGGCAGGAGGCTGGCAAACAGGCCCCTCCAAAAACCAGTGGCGAGGTCACTTTCGCCACAATATATTTTTTAATTAAAAAAATATATATATATTTTGATATCCCACTTACCGGCGTACCTTTACCTGGGAGGGGGGGACATCTCATGCAGTCCCTGGTGGTCCCAGTGGTGAGATTGACCTCTCTCTCTCCCTCCCTCCCCTGCCGGCTGCCAGCAGAACACTGATCTCCCCTCCGGTCCTGCAGAGCTGGCAGAGGAGAGGGAGGCACATGTCCCGGTGCTAAAAGATCATAGCAGCGGGAAATATCTTGCAGCAATTTATTGCAGGTCGGGTGAAGGCTTTCGCGGACCGACAAATTCTTGCTGCCCGGATGTTGGGGGACCCCTGCTTTAAACAATATACAGAATAATTCCCTAAATACTAGATTAGATTTTGTCCGAATGGACAAAATACGGTGAAACTAGACAATTTCCAACTAGAATGGCAATTCTCATATTTTCTAGAGTTAAATCCAGTAAGACTTTGGTTGATCCAAGCAAATCTGTAGCAGTCAGACCGATGCATTTGGTGTCAGGATTTTATTATTTTTGCATCTGAACCCTATACAAAATGTGATTTTAAATATTCATAAAGCACTGGTTTTAACAAAATTTGGGATGTAGTGTATATGCAGCAGGATCCACGTTCGCAAATTATCAATCACTTGCTTTTTGCAAGCAAACAATAATTCAGGTACTATTCGTTAAAAACCCTTGCCTACACAAGGCTTAATCACGTGGTTGCCGGACAATGCTTGCTAGCCAGCCACTACATTAAAGGTCGTCTGCCAGCATAGTCATAACAGTATGTAAATGGGGCTAGTAAAGCAACATAATTTGCAGTCCCGTCTGCAAGTGCAGGTCTTGCCTTGTACCAATGATGTTTGTGAACTACATTTCCCTTCATACCGTGAAAACCAGTGGGGTTACATTGCTAGAAATAACTCTTGAATAGTAAGCCAAAATTTAGAGTCCAAATGCTTCCATATTGTTGAGTGAGCATATATTGTAGGTATATGTAGAACCACCTTCTGGTAGGGACATCATGTTCTTGGTGCCAAAACAGAATGCCTAGTGCTGTTGTGACAGATGGTTCATTGATGTAACTACAGTATAGACCTATAGGATAGAAGCTTGTTTATAGAGATCACAAAGTGAACAAACCTTCTGAGTAAAATGAATTTAATTCCTTCTCATAGTATACCCATCAGAAACAAAAGATTTCCTCTTACACCATAGCAACTTCATTGCAATTAAGTTGTTATGGTGTAAGGAAGTCACAAACACTGGTTTAACTGAATAGGTTTATGAACAGTTTAACCCAAAGGATTTTAACCTGTTGTCTGATCGTCCTGCCTCTTCTTTTTGCTTAATGTGTGAGGCTTCAATCAGGAAGCCTCAGACCAAGTACAACTGATAGGCTGATAGTGCCACCTAACTCTCGTAGCATATCACTAGCTTCCTATTGAGAAAGTTAGTGAAAAAGTCAGAGGATTCCTCATTGAAGCTTCGGACATTGTGCAAAAGTACAGCGGCAGAGTGATTGGATGCTGCCTTGAAAACTTTGGGATTAAGCCAATCGTTTATGGTTTTTAACCCTTTTAGGTAAGCCAACGCCCTCCTCACACTATAACCATTTTGTTGCTATGAAGTTGTTATAGTCCCTCAAGTGTTTCGTTTTAATACAGTTAATCTTTAAAAGATACAGGAACCATATCATACATTTCTAGTTCACTTTAATATATGGTTTTATTAAACCTCGACCTTTGTAAATATCTTCTCTTTTCCCTTTTACTTGTCTGTTTATGGATGTTGCTGTTTTGGAGTGATATTTATTTATTCATTCTCACTAGCAGGTGCCATGGAGAAAGAGATCTTTGTCTCTAACCTTCCAGAAAGTGTTACAGAGGTAACTAATTTTGTATCGGATATATATACATATGAATGGGAATGGCAGTTTGGTAGCAGCAGAGTCCGTGAGCTACCTTTTCAAATAGTTTTTATTTAATTTTTTTTTTTAAACATATTTTTTATAATTCAGTAATGATATTTTGATGTGTCTCTATTTCTCACAAGCAAAAAATATATCTATATTATTTCCACCTTCTTCACCAGAGGAGTTCACTCATCAGTTCTGCACTGTTTTGCTTCTAGGGTTTATGTAATTATACAGAAATAAAAACTGTGCTGCCTGACATGTACCAATCTTTTTTTTCATTTTTTTTATTTTTGTATTTTTATTTTTAGATTTACTTAAAGGTTTTTATATTTGTCTTATGTTGGTGTTTGTTTTCACTCTCTTTTTTTCTTTATCGTTCTTTCTCCTCACCTCTTCTTTCTTTTTAGAGAGAGACTTCAACTCTTCCTGAGCACCTTGAGCCTGTATGTGTTTTGAAACAGGATGACGTCCTCTGGTAGGTTGACTTTCATGACTGTGGCATTGAGGTCAAAACTGAATAGGGATATGTGTTACTCATTACCATTATCCCTGCTTTCTTCAAATTTCACTGATTAATGCACTTAATATTTTAGTTCTATTGGAGCATCTAGGGCAACTCTATTTGGCAGGTATGCTTAAGAGTTGCATGATTTCGGGGGGCGGGGCTTGGCTGCCAAGCAGTGAGGAAGCTCAGGGCTGCAGCTATCCCGAACCGATGCAGTTTATCAACGAATTTAGCAACCATACTTACTACACCCACATTTAACCAGGCACCCCTGTCTGGGGAACATCTGGGGAACACATAGGTACCAAAAAGCAGCTCCATTTTTACCTTTGTGCAGCACTGCACTATTGGCGACCTATTAACTGATGTGGCGCAGGAGGGACGGCCACTCTCTTGTAGCTAGCATAGCCCGGCATCCACACCTGCCGAACCAGCTTCCTCCACCTCGGAGGCCTTGTTACTATGCCATCAAGCTGAGGAAATGCTGAAAGAGTCTTCCAGACTCTTTTCTAAAATGGGGGATGCCATGTGCTCTTTTGTGTCTACTCTCGACGGAATCTTTGCTCAGTTCTGGCTAAAGCTGACTCAAAGACTGCAATATCATGTTCACAATAATAAATAACCCAAAGCACACCAGGTAAAGTTAGCATATAAAAAGTTTTTATTCATCCAGTGATTCAGTAAAAATGGTATGCAAAGTGCAAATAGCAGTATGGGCATTTAAACATAAAATCACAAACCCATATTAAGTATGTGAAATATAAAGATAAGTGCTTACAGTATATACTCGAGTATAAGTCTAGTTTTTCAGCACATTTTTTGTGCTTAAAAACCCCCACTCGACTTATACTCGAGTCACTGTCTGTATTATGGCAACTTAGAGAGCCGCGGCCGTCAGAGCCATGGCAACGATCCGCGCGGCAACCAGACCGCGAGACTTACAGTGGAGCTGACCAGAACGGAGGAGAAGTGAGCTGACAGGAGCTGCAGGAAAGGTAAGTAAATGCCTCCTGCCGGCCCCCCCACTTCACAGCCCATGCCACTGGACCACCAGGGATTAAGATAGCCCCCCTCCCTGACCAGTTAACAAGCAGGCGGGGGGGACAACATTTTTTTAAAATAATAAAAAAATAATAATATTAAAATAAAAAAAATTTAAAATAATAAAAATGCCCTCCCCCCACCCAGTTCTCACACACTACACAAACACACACTCTGCATTATATACACACTCTGCATTATATACACAGAGTGTGTGTATATATACAGAGTGTGTGTATATAATGCAGAGTGTGTGTTTGTATGTGTGTGTGTGTAATGCAGAGTGTGTGTGTGTATATAATGCAGAGTGTGTGTTTGTATAAGTGTGTGTGTATATAATGCATGAGTGTGTGTGTATATAATTATAAAAATCACAGAATTTCATAGCCCCAAGTTTTACCCTCGACTTATCCACGAGGCATAGCATATTTCACAATTGTTGGTCACAAAACTGCACTCGACTTATACATGAGATCGACTTATACACGAGTATATACGGTAGTTAGAAATCCCACAAACCCATAATAATATAGGCATACTAACCCAGAATAGGAGATACAGCAACCCAAACGTTTCGGCGTCTAGCCTTCCCCAAGTAAGCAATGGCCCTGTTCTGCATCCTGCCAAGCTTTGAGGGCGGCAGGTTGGACCATACGAATGCTACCAGGTTTCTGCTACACGACGATCCGACGTTTGCAAGCTAGCATTCCATCAAGCTTGCTACAGAATTTACCGTGGAGGAACTTTGCTCAACCCCTGCAGGGAATTGGCTGAATGAAGTGTGAGGTCCAGGACTTAATCTCTGTTATCGTACCTCACCATTTATTCTCATGCTAGCATCTATTTAGCACTTGTTTTGATTATTATAATTTTATGTTTTCAATTACTGAGCTTCATTTTGTTAATTATTTTTGTATTTTGCGATGGGGCTTAGCTTAACTAGTCCTGGCATATCTAGGTTATCTATTTAGGTGGAATTTTCTTCTGTCTCGCAGCCATAATTATCTAAGTTGTCACCTATGACTCACTTCAGAAGGCATATTACTAGTTTTAGGTGTTTCAGATTACTGCTGTCTTCTGCATCCACGATGACTCTAAGTAGACTAGGTGGCTATAGCTCCATAGATGTGTTTTTGCTTTGATGAAATGCTCCTCTGTTTCTAAGTTTAATTTACTAAAAACACAAAATGAGGCGTAGTTTAGCAGTTTGCGCCATGTCATGCTACCTTCTTATTTATTCTTCCTGTACTGACGCATGTTTGCTCTTATTGAATGTTCAATCTTATACATGTCTCAATAAAAAAAACTGACCTAAAGAGTTGCATGATTTTGGTTGTCTTATGATTCTGTACCAAAGTTCAATTTTCTTGCTTGGATTTTTGCTTGGAACAGTGCATCATTTTAAAACCAGTACGGAAAAAGGAAATCTCTCTCTTCTGACCTCTAATGCTTTAGTATGATTGCTGAATTACTATATTAAATGTTTCTGTTTAGAGATTTTCTCATGCTGCATATACTGCATCTAAAGGAAATTGTATATGTTTCACCTGTAAATTATTACATATTTCTTTTTTTTTTTTTTTTTTATAGCTTTGCAGTTGTGGAACGTATTGCCCCACAAAGTGTTTCCCTTGAGGTAGAGCAGCAAAATGGAACTATCTTTAATGGACACCAGCTCACTGTGCAGTCCATGAGCTCTGACAATGAGCAGCAACCAGACAAATCTCCAGCCCTACCTGGCCCCATGCCGGTAATAAATTAGTGGGTATATGTGTAAAGAGGATTTTTGTTGTAGACTTCACACCGGAAACAAACAGAATGTTCCTGCTCACTATCAAAGTAAATCATAGGTTAATTATCCAACATATACTGTTTATTAAGTCAATCGAACAATTGTATTTATGGACACACTGCAAGTCTGTATTGAAGAATTTGTCACATACATGTAGACATCTGCTAAATAAGTATTTTCAGTCCGATATCGGGGAACGTTTTCCCCTGTGTGTTCTTGGAGATAACAGGCAAATCTTTACTGTGGAATTGTTATAAATAGGACTGGACAAATAGAGGTTTACATGGTTCTTTGTTATGCAATTTAGTCTTGCTGTAATAGTAATCTGCCTTCTGTGCAGATACAAAGCGTTTAATGCTTGATTATAGCGGAGTTAACATTCCTTTTCTATAGCTAACTTAAGCAGTCCGAAGTGTGCTTAGGAATTAACTTGTCTCAAAGGTTTTATATGTTTAAAGGTTCTAGATAACTGCACGCACATAACGAAGATATTGACAAAAGGCACCTAGCATTGCAGTGATTTTATGGACTGCCAACCTGTTAATTAAGATTTTTGCCTACTAATAACATGTGCCAGAAGAGGTTAGGATATCATCTAAACACTCCCATACTGTGGCAGAAAGGTATTTAGGAAACCTGTCTACCTTCCAATAGTAGATGCGATTGTGATTTTTTTTTTTTATTTATTTTTTTTTTATTGAAAAAATATCACCTGTGTTGGATCAGTATTGGTCAATATTATTGAAAGTAAACCTTTTATTATACATAGTGGGGGGCAAAAATATCAAGGGACAGTGGGGCGACGGAGTCAGCAATGAACATGAACAGACGCATGTTGGAACACTTCTCTGCTATTGCAGGAAATGGCAGTTTACCTCCGCCAAAATACACTGATTGAACAGGGAACACTTCAACAGGCCAACTGAAAACTCCATGGGCCGAAAGACAAAGGTGGACAGGGCGCCCAACAGCTGTGTAATTGGCGCCCTTAAGCTCTCTAACCAGGCTGCATGAGGACGGATCCACCTGCCTGTCACAGGACTTTCCCACAGATATGGACGAAGGAGCCTCTTTCAATGCCGCACAGGAGGTGAGGGCTGCACCTGCCGAAGACGATAACAGCTGCCATGCTAGGGGAATTTCACACTAACATTGTAGTTGACTTCTCTTATTTAAAAGTGAGCGGGGGACAGTGGCTTGGGTAGAAATGCTGGAAGGTCGGAAGAGATGCTATAATTTGTAATTCATGGGTGTACTTGAGGCTGTAGGCACTGAGGAATAGTGACACTATCTCAAATGGTTCTTCGGGTCTCTAATGCCGCCTAAGCGGGACAAAAATATGAATGATGGCATGTTTTGTCTGCCAAAGCAGATGACTGACCCAACTTCTGCTACAGCAGATCTTATTCTAGGTTTTGAATACACATAAGATAAAGCCCTGTTTGTCATAGCAGTGCGGGGGAAAAACCCTGGTTCGGTTTGAGGCCTCCACACTCTTCATTTTTCCAGACCTCACGCAGAAAACTCTAGTTTGGCGGAGGTCCCTGATGCCACTGTTGCAGGTTCTACGATTGGGAGAAGTCGCCTACCTCTGGGGTGTACCCAGGATGTACCCAAGGTAAAAACCAAAGGTGAAACTTACCATGCACAAAACCCTCCAGAGCTGGAAGCCAGTATACACAATTGGGGCCTACTTGCAACTAAGGGAGCTAAATATAATAGGTGGACAAGCCTGGATCCCTTAAAGATTCCTGAATTTACAACATGGTCCCACAGTGATGTTCTCCCCATATTTAAAAATTCATACAAGGCCTCTACTGCCTTTTATATTGACTCTAAATGCGTTATAACCTGTGGTTCATTTACCTTGCCATTGGTGACTTTCTTTCTCTTTTTATTTTTTTCTTCGTATCTTATCCTTCCATGTTTCTACTCATCTCTCCCTTTGGGTGTTACTATTTGGGTGGTTTTCCTATTGCAAGGCTACCCAACAGTTCCTCTTCATGTGTAGATACACCAGAATGGCTTAGCAAGCCCTCACATGCACAATTTTGAGGGCAATAGCTCTCACCCTTCCCTTTTAACATTTATTTTGTGAGAACCTAAAGTGCACACACTATTGTGCTGGTGGGGGTACCTCATCTATGGGGTAAGCTGTTGCCGTATGGGATATTCTAAGTAGCCTCCGTACATGTTTAACTTATGTGATTCTATTTCTTACAAAAAAAAAACATCCTTTCTCCACTTGCATGTGTAGGTCTAATGTCTGATTATGTCTGTGCCCAATGTACTGTACTTTAGACAGTGTTTTCCTTGCTGGCTCATTCACACATGGAGTGAGCTGTAAATAAAGATTAACAAACAAAAAAAAAGAAGATAGTGAGGAGTCACTGAAAAAAAAAAAGGAAGAAAGGTACATTTTTAAATGGTTGTGCACTAAACACATTAATAGTATTTTAGTAAATCTCAAGTATGTGTAGCAGTGTAGACTTTTTGGGGCTCTTTGACACCTGAAAGTAATGTTATCCGTTCATGAACAGTCATTTCTTTACAGGAGCTGGAATATGTGCCATCTGACTCAGCTGAAGACTTGGAGCGTGAGTACCTCTGGGTTTATTTTGGAATTTAATAATTTTGTGATGGATTTAATGGATTTACAACACTGGAAATGCACTATCCACTGAGCGACTTCAGTGTAAGGGATAGGTAAACATAATATTCCAGTGTGTCACCATTGCGTGTCTCCATGTTGAGCCATTCAGGGAAGCGCTTGAAGGCATTTTGTAATGAACCCAGCAGGTCCATAGGTGTGAGTGAAGATAATTTGTGTGTTTTTCTTTTTTTTTTTTAAATTCTTTATTTTTGTCATTTTTCTTTTGCGTTTGGTTTCAGGGTAGGGGGATACAACGTTTCCTTGTCATATATACATTGCAAGCTTGTTCTGTTTTGAGATATCCTGTTTGACAATTCGTTGTTTGGGTAGGTGAGGGTAGGTTAGTCGTCAGGGTGCTGCTATGGCGTGCTTGGAGGACCGGAACGTCCCGTCAGTCTAGTGAGTGGTTAGGCTTGTGCTATCTAAGTCTTTGGTTCCTCGGCCCTTCAGGCCGGGTTTCAGGGTTTTCTGTGGGTAGGGTATCTGTTTCTGGCTATTGGTTTTCACTGGTGCTGGTATTTCTGAGGGCCCTACGTTTTCTATCTGTTAGTCTTTTTGTTGGTGGCTCGGTTTTATCCCTGAGCTTTGGTGGGGTTTCCTCGACTCTCAAGACGTTCAGGGGGTCTTTTGGTTCCCTTGTCTGTGTCTGCTACTGTAGGTGACTGTTGGGATTTGATATGTAGGTAGAAGTTTGTCGTGATAGTTGTAGCCTCCCTGAGTTGTGTCCATTAGTGGGGAAAGAGGGAGGTGGGATAGTGGCATGAAAAGCCAGGATGTTTCTGGATCTGGGTGAGGTAGGGGTGCATCGACCGGTCCCCCCATCCCCCCCCAGCCCGGGCTTGCAGGTCTTGATTTGGTTTGCCGGGGGTGCTAAGAGTGTATCTTAGCATGGGTATGTCTCTGTAGGAACAGTTTTATGAGGTATTAGGTCTTTTGTGGTGTATTTCTTGATAGTTAGTTTTACCAGGGTAGTGTAGTGTCTCTGTTTAGCCAGGGGTCCCAGAGCTTGTGGTATTGTGTGGTTGTTTCGTGTATTTGGGCTGTGAGGCTGTCCATGTTTGCGCTGTCCTGTATCTTGTGTGTGATGGAAGTTTGCGATGGGATGTGTGGTGTGGCCCACTGTTCAGCGATCGCTCTGCGAACTGCGAGTGTTATTCTTGCTATTAGTTTGTTTTCTCTTCTTGTGTAGGTGTCACTAGGTTTGGATAGTAATAGTAGCCAGGGATCCATGGGGCATGGTCTGTCGAATAGTCTAGTGATCAGGGTTGTGATACTTTGCCAGAGCGGTTTCAGTTTAGGACAGGACCACCAACAGTGGAGGAAGGTGCCTATTTCTCCGCAACCTTTCCAACAGAGGTTGGGGTGAGTTGCTCTCATGGCGGCTAGTCTTTGTGGTGTCAAGTACCACCGGAACAGCATTTTATATGCTTGTTCCTTGTGGGTGACGCATATTGAAGTGGTGGCTATGGCTTCCCATATATCTGACCACTCTGTGGGGTCTTCCAATGTGCCTAGATCCCTTTCCCATGCCCTAATGTAGGAGAGCTTCACCTGGGTTGGGTGTGTTGCTATAGTGGTGTAGAGGTCTGAGATTTGGCCCCTTCTCGCTGGGTGGTCCATACTATCTCGTTCAAATCGTGTTAGAGGGGCTGTGCCTGCCTGTTTGATGACGGGTGTGGCAGTGAAACTTCTGAGTTGCAGGTATCTAAAGTGATCAAATGTGGTGAGTGTGTCCTTGTCTGGTAAATCGTTGTAGGCGATGATAGCATCTGCCGCGTATAGGTGCTGCAATCTACATATATTCCTATTGTCAAAGCTTGCGAAGTGTGCTGGGGTTAGACCTGGTGGGAATAGTTTGTTTCTCCATATGGGGGAGATCGGGGATAGATAGGAGGACAGGTCGTATTTGTCTTTTGCTTTGTCCCATAGGGAGTGTGTTATCGCTGGGGATGTGGGTGGTGGTAGTGGTCTTTGTGTTTTGGGTAGCCACATATATAGGGACGGGTGGTCCCAGCCAAATATCAGGTGCTCTAGGTCTACCCATCGTTTTTTACCCGGTGGGAGATGCCACTGTTGTATTTGGGCCAGACGTGTTGCTGTCAGATAATGTGTGAAGTTTGGGAGTCCTAGGCCTCCCGCTCGTCTGGGGACGTAGAGCGTGTACTTTTGCACCCGTGGCTTTCGGCCGTTCCAGACAAAGGAGTCCACTTCCTTTTGGAGTGTTTTAAGATCCTGTTTGTGGACAGGGATGGGCAGGGTTTGGAACAAGTAAAGGAATCTGGGCAGGAGATTCATTTTAATTGAGGTTACCCTGCCC